AAAGTATCTTGCTCTGTCTGGTTGTGGCTTATGGAAGCTTTAGGCATCATTTTGATATCTTTGGGTTCAATTCTTACTTGGTGCACTTTTTTTCCTTTTGCTACTGGTTTCTTTTCTGTTCATTCTAAACAACACAGTCTGATGGTCAGCAATCAATAATCTAAATAAATGAAAGCCACAAGACAGAGTTCATGAGCAAGACCATCCAATATTAATGCTATGAAAATATAAGTTATTAATCACATGTGTATAATGGTATAGGATTATGTAATGAGACTATTACTAGTCTTTTTATAAAGAATTTAATTTTCTTTAAAATAACCAATGTATTTAATGAGCTGATACTAGGACTATCATTAGGCTCTGTTGCTGGCTAGGGTAGTGAATAGAGTCAGGTCCACATGTAATGAGACTGCTTACTTATAAGTAAGGCTTCAGTTAAGTTTATTAATAGTAGCATTTAATTTTCTGAAGAAGCTATTCATTCAATCAGCTCATACCAGCTGATACTAGGGCTATCATCAGGCTCTCTTACTGGCAGTGCACAGGGTCAGGTTCATTGCCCTAGGTAGCTACTAGATCATACAAGGTCTATCACTTAGCTAGACTGGCTCATTACCACTATAGAAGCTATAAAACAGGCAAAACCAAAGGCCTGAAAGGGGCAGCTAGGGTGGTAACCTCCACAGTATTGTGACGTGACAGGTGGGGAACCCTCCACCCCCAGTGGCAAAATCCCAACCAGTGGAAGGGCTCCACTCTCTGGGGCCTCTTAGGTGGAGGGTTTGAGGGGGGTTGATAACCCTAAGAGGTTTGGGTTCAGGGTAGACTGAGGTGCTTCTTCTCAGTTTCCAGATGAGCCTCAAGGCGGGGATGGAATGTCTGACAATGAAGACAATGACGACGATCCAAGCGACAGCGAAGACAACGAGACTGGACATGATGGACAGTCCACTTCCCCAACACCACATCCTATCCGTCCTCTTCCATCCCGCAAAGTAAAATCTTGTGCTATTCTTTCGCCTTCACAATCCCCATCGCCTGCATCAATGCACTCGCAGTCGTCGGACGATCTCAATTCACTTCCTTCCCGACCACAAACACCACCGGCCCAAACAGGGAAGCGGTCTCATTCCGAGAGAACCACTGGGACTCCGAGCAAGAGTCCCCTGAAGAAGCGGCTACGAGAAAAGGGCCAGACAGCCACACAGGCGGCACTGGCAGCACTGGCAAAAGGCAAGGAGGTGGCAGAAAAGGGCTCAAAAGCAGCGAAGACCACGATTCCCATCCTATTCCAGATGAAGGGGTGGACCGATGTAAAAGTTTTGACCAGAGAGGAAAAGAGCATGGTTTCCGCTAAACAGGCAGAAAAACGGAAGGATATGGCCAAAGAACGTGCAAGAGCCGAACACTGGAAGAAGGCGGAAGCAGATGCCTGCAGGAAGGAAAACCAAAATGAGCGCAAGCGCAAGTCGAGAGTGCGTAAGCGTGAGGAGGAGGAACGGTTGAACCCTGACAAAAAGCGACAAAAGGTGAGCCTGAATAGCCAGAAGAAATGAAGCAGAACTGACCTAGTGCAGGTTGCAGCACATCTGGAAGATCGTGAAGGTCCTTCTCGAAATGATGTTGCAGAAGCATCACATCTCGGGCAAAAGATTATGAAGCGACTGAAGGAGAAGACCAGGAAACCTTCTGGTGCAAAGAAGAGGAAGGCAGAGCGGCGACCACGCAACATCTTCTGGCAGACACTGTTTGCTTGGTCTGTGATAATGGCTGCTCAGAGGAAAGTCGGATGGAGTGTTACACGAATTTGCAATTACCTCCAAGGCCAAAATTACGACTTTTTCCAATATTTGAAGCCGAGCACCGTGTTTGGATGGATCAAGGATGGCGTTTGGGGCAAACGATGGACCCAGGCTGTTCTTGACAGAGCGGCGGCAGCGGAGCCTGGTCACGAGAAAGGTGGATGGAGAGGTATCTTGGTATGCTATCCGTTGTTAAAACGGGCTTCATCTGATTAATTGCAGTCCCCATACCCGGAAATCGTCAATGAGATCAACGAGCAGCTCATCGCACTTCGCACCGCCGGAGCTCCCCTCAGTCTCGCCTCCGTCCAATGTATTATCATTGCGATCATTCGGCTTCGGAAACCCGAGCTGTTTGAGCAACGCTTCAAAGATGGATCATGCTTCCGGGCTTCGGACGAGTTCTGTCGGCAATATCTCCATCGGAATTTGGCATGGTCAAGCAGGAAAGGAACAAAGGCAGCACAGAAACTACCCGATAACTGGGAAGAGCAGTGCTATACCGCTTTCCTTTGACGGGCATTCACAATCAAAGAATACGAAATCCCTGCTGAGCTCATCATTAACTCCGACCAGACGGGCGTTATATTCTTACCGGGCTCACGAATGACATGGGCACCTCAAGGGTCCAAGCAGGTACCAGTGGTTGGGAATGAAGAGAAAAGCGCGCATTCATGGCTCTACTCTCGGTCACCGCAGCTGGTGTGACCCTCGGCATTCAATGTGTTTACGGTGGTACCACGGACTGTGTTACCCCAGCAAACAATGCACCTCATCGCGCTGACTGCGACAAGGCTGGGTTTCGATTCGTGCCATCTGGGAAGAAGGGAAATCACTGGTCAAGTCAGCAGTCAATGCGCGAGCACGTGGAAAACATACTGGTTCCATACATTGCGCAGAAGAGGGCTGAATTGAAGCTCGGCAATCGACAAAAGGCACTCTGGCTCATTGACGTGTGGTCTGTTCATCGGTCAGCAGAGTTTTTGGGTTATATGCGGACGTACCATCCAAATATTCTTATCGACTTTATACCTGGAGGCTGTACAGGCGTCGGACAACCACTGGATGTAGGGATTAATTGACCGTTCAAACATGCAGTAAAGGTGGCCTACCATGAGTGGCTTATCAACTCGCTACTGGAGAAGCGGGGAGCAGGGCAGGCAATGACTCTAGATAAATCGATCGGGACTCTCTGCGACGCAAGCGTAGCTTGGCTCTGGACAGGCTTTCAGGCAATTCAGTGTGAGGACATGATCAAGAAGGTGCATACTGTCAAACTCGTTCGCACATAATCTCATATCTCCTAGGCTTGGGCCATGTGTACGGGTCGCGGGCACAACCTCTCATATGAGTGCCTCACCTCGTTTGAGACACATGAGCTTCTCTGAAACTTGCGAACAACCAATCCTCAACTTTTGCACAACTTCCAAACTAAATCCACCCACGACTTCCGACCCAGTGATAATGACAAAGTGGAAGAGCACAAGGCAGTGTATGATGACCCAGAGCTGGGTGATAACGATTCGGAGATTCCAACGCGGGAGGTGGTGGGGCACGTTGTCAGTCGCAAGACCCAAGGGCTACAGCAAGTCAGGGCAAAGGCAGAGGGAGGTGGCCTTGCATCGCTGGGGGAAGCGGAAGATCCAGACAACGAGTCGATCGGTGCCATCGATGGAGAAGGAGATGGCAACAGTGAGCAGGAGATGGGTCGTGGCAAACGTGTACGCCACTCCACAGCCAGTCGATACAGGTTTTTCTGGCGGCACGCGAATGACCGCAACGAAGACCTACCAGAGGACCAGTAAGTAGAGTAGTTGATATGCCCGCTCATTGATATGCCCGCTCAGGCAATACACCACGTACCTGTCACCCCAGCACCATCGCTTTCTGTCCTTACAGTTACTGCCAGCATGGCGGTCGTGTCGAAGCTCAAAATGAACTGACATGACATCGTGTGAGTAGATCGGCAGAGCTAAGACCGGACCGCGGAAGCAGTGCACAATTCCGGCAAATTATGTGACCTTTTTGGAGAGCTTTGGGGTGCTCGAAAATTTGGCCGGTGACCTGTGACCCATTCGAAGTTGCTCGAATTTTGAGGGTCTTGTGACCCGTGACATTCGAACTGAATATAATGCTACAGTAATGTTTTACAATGAGTTTTTGGGCCAAGAAAAATTTTTATATATTCCCACTAACGTTTCCCACCTAAACATTTTTAAATCACGGCTGTGTGTGCTCATTCCAAATGATTGACACAGATCATCCTCGTGTCAAATAGATATCAAGAGGTATGCATACCTGAAACCCCCCGACATCAGGTCGGAAAAGTGAATTAGCGACCACTGGACACCCCCCTCCCTGTGTGACGTCACACCATGTGATTGCACGTGATGTCCCAAAAAGGCAATTCCTTGATGGGTGCCAGAAACTGGTGAAAATGCCCTGCAGTACTACTAATTTCCTCTATATATAGTGTCCCTTCTTGTGCCCTCTACCCACATTCACCCTGCAGATATCATTATAAAACCAATTTTGGCTGCAGGCATAGCTGGCATGTGTGACGTGGGTGTGACATGGCCATGTCATCACCACCTAAATAGGAAATTCCTATCAAAATGCTTATACATGCCTTAGACCATTAATAGCATTCCCAGCCACTCTGTACCCTACAAAAGAAAAGTGAATTAAGGCCACCAGACCACCCCCCTCCCCCCTGACGTCTCGGCTTGCGCCGGCGCGTACCCCTTGATAGATATTAATGATCATGGTGTCCACCGAGTATGAAAAGTGGTGGGATGGCAATACCCAGGCTATAAGAAAAATTGTTAATGGATTCACAATTTCTATATCCGTTTATTTAGAGGGCGACCACATCATGTGTATATGGAAGACTGTGTTCAAATCATGATTTCAAGCTGTATATGGTAGTATCCAGTGTGTAGATGAAAAAGAAATTAGGAACATGATGGGCACAATAAAGATATCACTAGTAGAGCCCACTAACCCGCTTGCTTTTGCGCTTGGGAAGAGTACTGCGAATGAGAATATCGAACCTCGACATTCTTCAGGGGATAGTAATATCGAACAGCAATCGGAGAACATCATCGCACTATTAATACTCACAGCGATACAATACCATACGTCTAGAGCATATGAGACATAAGAACATAGTGACAGTCCATCGCCGCCCGCTCGTCACGCCGCGCGCACCGCGCTCGCCGTCGTCGGCGTCCGCTCCCCCGGCTCGAGCAGGACGCGCGACCTGAGCAGGACCGTGCGCGTCCACGTGCCCGTCCCCGGGACCTTATCCAGGCGCACGAGGCCGAGCGCACACGTGCACAGCACCAGCGCCGCGTCCCCGTCTCCGTCTCCGTCCCCTCCCTCTCCCCCCGCCTCTTCCTCGCTCTCGGCAACCATCGTCGCGCCGTCGAACGGCCCGCCCGGCAGCGCCGCGAGCGTGCGCAGCTCGCACGCCGCGACCTCCGCGCCGACCGCGCGGTTCAGCCCGCGGGCCAGGCTTACCAGCCGCGCGATCCGCGCGCCGAACTCGGGCCGGTCGCCGACGAGCGCGTGCAGCGCCGCGGGCGAGCTGCGGAAGCCCGCCGCGAGGAGCACGTTCACGAGCGCGTCGACGAAGTACGCGCCGAGCGCGGGCGCGGGCTCCGCGGCGGGCCCCGGCCCTGGCCCCGGGCCGAGGACGAGCGCCTGCACGTGCGCGTGGGTGAGCGCGCGCCAGCGGCCGGCGGCGGCCTGGGAGAGCGCGGGCGTCGCGCGGATGCGCTGGTAGATGTCCGCGAGGAGCTGCTCGTCGTCGGGGTCCGCGAAGAACCACGCGGCGCTCATCCAGCGCGCGTACTCGGCGAGCCCGCCCTGCACCGCGTGCCGGACGCGGCGCGCGTCGGCGTGGTGCGACGCGGACCGGAGCGCGGCGACCATCTCGGCCCCGAGGATCTCCGTGGCGCGCTCGAGCACGTCGGCGAGCTCGGGCGTGGTGTAGTCGACGGGCGGGGCGTGCGCCTTGTCCTCGAACTCGAACGCGTCGGCGAAGAACGCGGCGGCCTCGGCGAGCTCGGTGTTGAGCGCCTGCACGAGCACGAGGACGGCGTGGTCGGTGAGCCTGTCGTCGGGCGGGAGGCGGGCACGTGCGGCGTCCAACAGCTGCAGGGCGTCGTTGTGGTCCTGAGAAATCTGCGCGTTGGTGGCCAGCAGATCCTGCAATTGTTCGTTAAGTGCGGCCTGCTCGGCCTTCAGACTCTCCATCGCCCGCTGTTGCTCCACCTCCCGCCGCTGTGCGGCATCCACTGCACTCTCTAGCCGCGCCTCCGCCGCCTCCAGCCGCTGGGCCGCATCTTCCTCCCGTGCGTCTCTTTCCTGGACAACGAGCGTCTGTCGTCCCGAGTTCAGCCCCACACCCTTGCCTGCGTAGCGGGCGACATACCAATCGCTCCCGCTCCCGCTCACCCTCCTCTGCCCTTTCCCGCCAGGCCTGACACTGGCTCTCGAGCGCGGCCACTCTGGCCTGCGCCGCTCTCAGCTCCTCCCTGTCCTCTTCGGCCGTCCCAGTCGCCTTCCCGTGTCCGTTCGCCCGCTCCTTCCCCTTCTTCTCTTTCGCCGCCTGGGAGGCAGAGCCCTTCGAGGACCGCCGGAAGAACCCCAGCGCCGCCGTCGTCATCGCCAGCAGCACCACCACAATGGTCGCCTTCGTCGTGCCCGTCCCAGTCGCAGGCGTTGCAGGCGTGAATGCGCTGGCAGCGGGGGCCAGGGACATGAGCGTGCGGATGAAGAATAAGCGCGGGGGGCGTGCCCGCCGCGAGCCTGAGCCCCAGCCCCAGCCCCACTATGACCCGCGCCGGAAACATGAGGCCGCAACGGTGGAAAGGCCGTGATTCGCCTGGCGCAGGCGAGGCGAGGCGAGTGCGCAGGGTGCAAGACGCATGTCGCACCGTCCCTGCGCACGCGCCGCGTGTCTCTGTCCATCGCCAGGGCCACGGCCGCGCAGGGTAGGACACGACAGGGACCGATGCGGTCCGGCTGCCTCGTGGCGCGGAGGAAAGATCAAAGTCACCACGTGCTATGATATGTCAACGGCCTCATTTGGTAATTACCGGCCCGGAAGCTGATCGAAGCCGCCAGCCATTCCCGCGGTCGATCCTTGCCTCTTTCCCAGCATGAGCGCGCTCCCCGACGAGCTCTGGCTGGCCATCCTCGAGCATCTGTCGCGCGACAGCACAGCCCTCGCCGCGCTGGCCCTGGCTAGCATGGACCTGGCGCGCCTGACACGCCATCGGCGACTGGCGGAGTTCGATCTCTACCTGTGCCCCAAGGCACATTCGCAGCTGCGGCCGCCGCGGCGCCACGAGGCGCGGAAGGGGCGGCTCGGGTTCGCCCTGCGCGCCGACGTAGCGCCGTGGGTGCGCCGCGTGCGCGTCAGCGGGGCGCCCTGTCCGCTGTTGCTGCTTTTCTTAGCCTCTGTGCACCACTTCCCCGCGCTGCAGACGATAGTCTTCTGCAACATCCACCTCGACGTGGATGCGCTCCGCCTGCTCTACTCCCGCCCCGGCGCACTGCACCCTCTCCGAGCTCTATTTCACCGAGGACTGCACGACTGCGTCGCTCGACGACGTCAGGGATGCGGGCGTCCCACGCTATGCGCTGACGAAACTCGGCGTGGCGGAGTCCTCCGCGCTGCACCCGCCCGCGTCCGAGGCGCTCTGGGCGCCGTTCCTCGCCGGGCAATCCACGCGGCTCGTGGAAGTCTATCTCGGCGTGCTGCCGCACGAATGGTCCGCCCATCTGGACGCCATGCCCGCCAACCCGCACCTCGCGACGCTGCACTGCGTCTGGTCGGCCAGCGCGATGCGCGCCAACCTCGCCCTGCTCCGCAAGTTCCCGAACCTCCGCGCGCTCTCCGTCAGGCTGTTCAACACCGGCGCGGCGTACCGGCACGCCGCCGACAGCAACAAGACCCCCGATCTCCCGCGCCTGGCGCACGTCGTGCTCGACCACCCGCCGTTCCTCGCGCTCTTCGCACATCTTGGCGCGCTCGCCGCCGTCACGCTGCCGCCGTGCAATCCCGCGCAGCTCCGCGATCTCGTGACCAATGATCCCGGCATACGGGCGCTCGCGCCGCGCCTGCGATATCTCCATCTGAAGATCCTCCCCGTGCCGAGCTGGCGGCACGCGCTCCTGCCGCTCGGCGCCTTCTCCGGCCTGCGGCATCTGTGCCTGGAGCTGCCCGTCCCCCTCGCGCCCGTCGATGCGGTGCGTCGCGCTTTTTCTGTTCCCCCATGCCCGTTCCTCACCGCTCCGCGCTCTAGCCCCTGCTCCGCACCGTGGCGCCCACGCTGCAGACGCTCGCGGTCAGACACAGGGCGCCGGGGCGCTCGGTGGATCGCGCTGCAGAGTCTTCCGCTGCCCGCGGTGCCGATACCAGCAGTGTGCCCGCGGAGACAGCGCAGCTGCGCGCGGCCATCGTCGCGCAGTGCCCTCTGCTCGCGGCGCTCTGGCTGGACGTCTCCGTCGGCCGCACCGCCGGCGCCGACGGCGGGACGTATGTCTGGGAGCGGGCGGGACCGAGCGGCACGGAGCGGCAGATTTACAAGGGTGCGCGCTGTTCTGTCTATGCCCACTGGCACGACACTGATGTGACTAGGTACCAGGGCTAAGCGCCGCGAGTTTACCGAGTGGTGGGAGAGCTACACGCCGAGCATTCGGAGGATCTGGAAGCCGTAATAAGTACAGTTCATTGATTTATAGGCTTCGGAATGCTCATTTCCATTCCAAATATTTAAAAATGGTAATATATGACTCTTAGGGCTCCAACCAGATTGTAAAATAAATGCAAACGGTCCAAAAATGTTTGAAAACTGTTGATAAACATTTATAAAGGGTTACATCTTACTAAGGCTGTCCATGTCAATGCTGGGGGAATGACCAGCCTTGAAGCACATGTTGGTAAGCAAAGCTTGCATCAACGCTTGAGTATCTATGCAAGGATGCCAAGATTCACATTATTAGTGACATATATGGCTAGCCTATTATAATATTATCATGCAAAATGCAGAATAATAATATAACAATATTGTAATATAGTCCTCTGCACCATAATATATCCATAATATCAATTATATAACATAAAAATATTAACGTGAAATATTGTAGTAATAATGATAATCATATGGTATAATAATAAATTACAATATAGCAATGGCCAGCATTAACACTGATACATACAGCTGGTTTTTCCACTTGCTTATCAACAGGGTTTATGCATCTTGCTTTTTAACAGTCTTTCTGCACTGGTATTGGCAGGCCTGAGATGGGACTGCCTAATTAGGATCAAATCACAGCAAATTTCAGAAAAAAAAAATTGAAAACCATTTAAACTGTTTGTTTTTTTATTGTTTTTTTTCCGTTTGCAAACATTTGCAAATGGAAATGGTTGGAGCCCTAATGACTCTCATTACATCTTCCAATATCCGGCTGTTCGTGTGAAGTGTTCCACCCTTGACAAAGCGACACTGTCCAATTGGAAACCAACATATCGTAGTCACAGTTATCATTTTCATCTAGTTTATATCAATACGTGGATGGTGCACATGTTTTCTCATATAGGAACTGTATACAAATGGTTTCAGGGTGGGTGACAAAAAAGAAATTGTCGCTGTATGCTATGATATTGGCTTAATTTTCTTCAATACATGCACAACCAGCCGGATGGTCATGGAAGCAAGAGCGATCAATCGATCAACAGATCACAGCACTCTACTCTTCCCTCTCAACACTGACATCATTTTTCTCTTTCCCTTATACACAGAACAGGCGGGTGAGGCTCAATGATGGAGGCGCTGGGCCGCGGGCAGGGTCGAGCTGGCATCTTGCTCAGGCTGCTGGCCTGCATTCAAAAAGGCAAGTGCGCCTAGGACTCAGGGCAATGCAGAGAACAAGGGTCTCCCCATCGAAGGTTTCTGTGTCACTGCCGGGGTCCCGAGCACTGTGAGGGGAAGAGAGTGCAAGTGCCAAGTTGATAACAAAGCCGGGGGAACAGTCCCAGGGCCAACTACTTAAGTACAGGGCTATCTACAAACCAGTCAGATGATCAGTCACAGCTGTCACATCACATGATCCCTTACACCAACCCCTCATCAGGATCAGTCACCTTGACAGACAGGTGGAGTGTAGGGTTTCGCAAACTTGTATTCCCGGTTGCCCAAGGGGGGTTCAAGTCTCGAATCATACATATACATAGGGTTGGAAAGTTTTTTTCTGACCCCTGGGGAACCCCCCTCCTGCCATATCAGGTAATATGTTCCCACGATTCGCATCATGTGACCACTGATGCGATCAAAAAGTGGGATAAAAAATTCAATCTTTGTGCAACTTTTTTTTGCAAAATTTTTTATATGTGTGTATGTGTATATGTGTGTATGTGTATATGTGTATGTATGTATGTACCTGGAACCTTCAAACACACATGGCAGGCCATATCAACTCTTCAACATGTTCACCTCTCATCAATTACCTGTCCATGGACCTATAACAGAGTGGGCTATCCAAGCTTATGGGCCTGAAAGTATATAGATATAAGTATGAGAGTTGTGAACTATAGAAATTGGAGTGTATACACTATATCTTCACTGTCTTTACACCCATGAAAGGCCTAAATCTTTCATATACAAAAAGCTTTTTTTTACCCCCCCCAGGGCCCCCTACCCCATGTGCCTGATAAGGATCTTGAACCCCTTGAGGTCGCCAGGAAAAAATGGAGGTTGTCGCCTATAACACACAGAGGCATGTGCGGATCGAAGGTACGAGACCAAAAACCAAATTCGTTTGTGATCTATGTCGAGCGCATCAGAGTATGCCACAATATACACACGGCAAATTGAAAAATTTCTTTCCCAGTAAAAACATGAATTAATTTTACACATTTTTATATACATTTCTCAGTGAAAGAAATACTGAATTTTAATTGCATGGAAACAGATATCAAAACAATGCCTTTTTGCTTGTGTTTCAGACAGACAGAAAGCTGACCTTTCCCTGATCATGAAAGACGATTTGAAAGATGGGCTTTTGATGCTTCTTTCTGTTTATACAAAAAGGTCACCTTTGTGTAAAAACAAAAAGATCACTTGAAATTGCCTCTTTTTGTGTTCCTTTTTAAGCCGCACAAAGAACTGATTTCAATGATGCAGAAAGACACTCAGAAAGATGTTCTTTCCCTTTCTCTTTTGTTGCCATACAAAGATGTTCTTTGTTCCTAAAAGAAAGAGAAAGAGAAAGAACATCTTTCCCTGCACCTTTCTAATGCAGCAAAAGATAGCCTTTTTGGAGATACAGAAAGTCTGAGAGAAATAAGATATTTATTTTATACCCTAGGTCTACCCCACAGCTCAGCTTGGGTTATCTTCTATGTAAAGTGCAAATTATGATACTAGTATACTAGTTGATGCTAGCAATCTCAGTCAGTCCCACTGACCAAAATCCAACCCATCGGCATCGCATCTTGCCCAATCGCCGGCCGGTTGACAAACTTCCACCGTCTTCATTGACGCGGCCGTCATACGCCACTGAACTCTCCACCCTCCTCTTGTACTTAGTTCCTATGGCTTGGATGGCAAGTAGGCATGCATGGAATCAAATAGGCCGCCATAACGACCACCTCATCCCTCCGTCTTTACCGGACAGGCCTTCGACGGGCGGCGGATCAAAGGATCAAGGGTGGATTACGCAACTTTGGGGCATTGTAGTGAATGACATAAGCAAGCCGAGGTACACAGAATGAATCAAGGCAAGAGGGGTGCCAAAGGATGTTCTAAACATTCTGAGGCAAGGTTAACGAGGATTATCCTGAGGCGGATCGGAATACCACCACCGCCGAACTCCCTGGGGGAACGAGAGAAGTTAAATGTTCCAGTCTCTTGGCCGTAGCGGCGCCCTCATAAATGCTCCATGTTTGTGATTGTCAGGAAGCGTTCTGCTCGTTCGGTTGCTTGGCGAGTATGGAACTTGGATGACTTCCGCCTTCAATATGTTGCGTAGTTGGTTGACGCAGAGCGCGGTCAGACAAAAACGCCAGACTTGAACATTTTTCAGGTTTCTCCCATTGCTCGAGAACGAAATGAATAGGGATGAGCACGGGTCCGGCTGACCCGCGCGGGTTGGCGGGTTTGACCCGTACGGGTACGGGTACGGGTCAGCTTACACTTGACCCGTGCCTATTCAGTCTCCGCCGCCCTGCTAGTCTGCACTTCATCAAGCGGTCCCTGGTTCAACTCTGCCTCCTTTCCTTTTTTCCCGACAAATTTGTGTCGCCCTTCACCTTCTAACCCGGCGGGTGACCCGGACCCGCGGGTCACAGGTCAGTGGCTGTGCAGGTCCGGGTCCGAGTCAGCCTCCGGTCACCCCAGGGGTTGACCCGTGCTCATCCCTAGAAATGAAGACCGGCGGAGTGAGTATCAAACACTCATTGGCAACCTTTATCCTGCCGAGACCCTCGTCTTCCTTGATGAATCTCACTGCGATCGTCAAACAACCCAGCGGCAATGGGCTTGGGCACCATCAGGAGACCGTGCTCGTTGTGGTGACTTCTTGGTCACCTGCCGCTGACGTGGTATTGTGCCTCCAAAAGATGGCCTACAGTACCTGTGATGACATCCACAGGTATTGACACTTATGCTAAGCTTTATAAGCAGGCAATTGCAAACATCATTTATGGCACAGATCAAGAGGTACTAGATAAGGGAATATTATCTGCATGAATCTAGCTTCAACAGTAAACAATAACTCTATAAAGGGAAGTCACTAAGCAAGTCAAATATTTGATGAGATCATTAGATCAAATGCTAATATACATCCCCAATAGAATCATATAAGAATAGATATCAATAACATGTCATATAATATTCTTGTCCTATTTTGTGTCCGTTTCTTCTGATACTCGTATAATATTAGAAATGCCAGAATATTCGGTTTTTGGGCCAGCTCAATATGTCCTCTGCCCTATCATACCTCTCAGGGTTGCTCGAGAGTTGAGAGAAGTAAGAAGTGAGTTTGCAAACACTAAATCATCTCAAATAAGCATGATGATCAGTTGCAGATGAGAAATGACCCACAATGTGCTTTGATAATCTGAACTGAAATCCAAATAACTAATGAATTTAAAGTGAACTTTCGTCAATTTTTTTATCCATTGAAATAGAATAAATAGAACTTTACAGTTTGTTGGTTGAATAATGTACTAAAATAGAAGTGAATGATAGTGCAAAGATCAATATATGAACTCACAAACACTAAGGTGAGGGAGCTGAATATGCTAGTGATAAAACCAGTTTCTGAAGAGGTAGTAAGCATGATCCTATCCCAAAACTCTAGAAATTTGTACCAAGTGTCCATTTTAGCAATTGATCCACCAATACAGCAGTCTTCACAAGACCAGTTCTACGTCTTAGAACCAGAATTGTAACCAAGGATCCAGTGATAGTCACATCATTGATGAGGTTGATAATTGTAAAGGGAAGGAGTAGTAGATCATACTGCTGAAAAAATGCTGAAATGCTGGGGCTCTTAAAACAGAATGGTAGATCGACTAGTCCCCCAATAATCAAAGCTGATGCCAGAAATTGAAGCAAAATAGATATCATCTTGAATATTTTCTTTGGTGCCATTACCCATATTCGAAAGGCAAAGAATCCCTGCACTGTGTGACACATATTAGATATCATATAGCT